AAAAAAAAACAAATTTTTACCAGAATTATCAACACAAATTCAATCACAATTTATTTATATCATGTTCATGTTGAGAATTTCTATAATTTTATAATATCATTTTTTCTGATCAATCAAAATTAGGCTGAATTATATATGTGTTTTTTGTCTTATTTATTTTTTTGTTTTTCCTTTTCTTCTTTTATCTAATATTTTTTAATTTTTTTTTTATCTCTTTTTAGTTTTTATATTTCTTTATTTTTTTGTTCAATATATTTTAACATTAAAATTATTTACAATATATTTACATATATTACTTTGCAAGTATAGAAATATTTGTTATTTTAATACTAGTATTTTTTACTACTTTATTATTTTATATTATAATATTAATAATACTATTCATATTTCTTTTATTTCTTTTTACTTGTACTTTAATATTAACAATACTAATAATACTAGCTACATTTTTTTATCTTAATACTAATAACATGTTCATTTTTTATTTTGTTTTATTTTTTTTTTTTTTTATTTTTTTGTTCACTAAAAAAATTGTTTATATATATTCGTAACGTTTAGGCAAATATTTTTAAGTCATCATTAAAAATATCCTCCCCGTTATATAATATTATTTACTATTTCTTATTCATAAAATTAATTATTTTAATTTTTTTTTCTCTCTTTTATTTTACTCTCTTTTTTAAAAAAAGATCTTATCATGACACAACAACTTCCACAACTTCCATCAATTCAACGAGTTTTTCTTGAATCAATTGTATCGTCATCAGACCCTGAGGGACGTTTCGTAGAAGTCAATGGAGTTCAAGCATTTTATAAATTAGTAATCCCAGCAAGTCATCGACAATTAATACAAAAAAAGCAACTTGTTCCAAATGAACCAAATAAACCTGTAATACTTTTATTACATCAAATTCTTGGAAATCAATATACTTGGAGACATCTTATGCAACCTTTAGCTGATGCTACAGGATGTCATGTTATTGCTTATGATAGAATAACTTTTGGATTTACTGAAAGACCTACACAATGGGAAGAAGGAAAAAATCCTTATACTCAAGAAGCGTCTGTAGAATTTGCGTTACAATTTGTGAATAATTTAGGATATGGGGAGAAAAAGATTGTATTTGTTGGAGTATCTGCTGGTGCTGCTATAAGTTGTACTATTGCTATCAGATATCCACATTTAGTACATTCTTTATGTTTATTAGGTCCTTCTATAAGTCCTGATGATCAAGGACCACCACCAATTGGTAGACATATATTAGGTTCAGCTCCAGGTCGTCTTTTCTTAAAAGCTGCATTATATCGTTATCTACCACTTACGACTCTTTATCATGACCCAGATTCAATTCCTGATTGGGAAACTGTAGTAAAACCAAATTATCGAGTTCCTTTAACTTTACCAAATTTTTATGAATCACTTTCATGGTTAATGAAATATTTTGTACCATTAGAAATTTTACCTCATAAAAGATATTTAGCACAAGTACCAATGTTATATATATCAGGTGATGATGATAAATATTTACATATTGATAAACACAGGGAAATTTTCGATGATATTATTTCAGTTGCTCCTTCAGATGCTAAAATTGAATTTAAAGTAATACAAAATTGTGGTCATTTACCTCAAGATGAAAAACCTCAAGAAGTTTTAGATTCCATTATTAACTTTTTATATAGAGTTGGAATTTAATATTATTTTGTGCCATTCGTTTTTTTTATTTTTTAAAAAGAATGTTTTAATCGTTTTTTTTTTTGGTTTTTTTTCTATGAAAAAAAAAAAAAAAATTTTTATTTTTCTCGTTATCACTTAGTATTATCAGCGTTTATTT